TGTGCAGATTCACTCTGGATAATTTTTTTAAACCAAATTGTGCTGCATGGTCTTTGAACTACAGGGTTACAAGGACCAATAAGAGGACTTTTGAATTATCCAACCCCACACTACATTAAGGGGATAGCCATCGTGCCAATGTTTTGGAAGCTAATGTGGGGTAATCCATAGGGAGAGATTAGGGTCAGTTATGAAACTGTACTTTAGTTCTGATTGATAGCTCTTTGGGCAATCAGCTCCTTTGATTCCTCTTTTTGTTGTTACTATAATTGGGGCAATTTATTTGTCTTAAATATGGTTGATTTGAGGTCAACAGTCACTTTTAGTTTCTGTTCTGTCTGTAGCCAACTTTTTTTTTGCTGCAGGTGCTTAGATTAAACTTTTTTTATTTTATGTTGCTATGCCTTTTTTTTAGTTTTGGGAGCTCAAAGAGCAGCATTCACTTGTTCCTGTACCATATGGCTTTGTAGCTGCCTTTTGCTAGCATTACGCAGCTGCTTCCTTTGAAAGAAAAATACTGTAAGTGCAAGAACAGTGCGCACCTAATCCACCACAAATTACATCTGTCACTTTAACTGAACCCTCTATTCTCATAGTAAAAATAAAAGTTAGGTAACTTTTTAACTGGTTAGGCCTTTTATCCCTGATTAAAACTGTCCTGCTGCTGGCCAATTTTACATTGTTATATTCTCTGATGTGTCTTAATTCTTGTAGTAAAACCCCTACCTGTGCTCCTTCTCTTTTGTAAATTTGGGCCTTGCCATTGCCACCTGGCACTTCTGTATCACCAATCCCCTATTTATTTTTAGTAAAAAAATAAACACCTGCCTGTGCTCTTTGTTGCTAGTACATTTTGCCCTATTATCCCTAATTTAAACTTCTACAAACCTATTTTTTAAACTGCTGTAACCTATGCAGTATCTTAATTCTGTAGTGAACCTCCTGTGTTCTTTGCCTCATGTTTTCTCTTCTGAATGACTGTTCTTTTATTAAAGGCAGTATAAAATACCACATTATGAACACTGCGTAGAGCTGAGGAGCATATGAAATACATACGTCTTTGTACCAAGAGTGCAATGTAACAATTGTAGAGAAGGCTAGAGGGAATTGGTAAATAAATGTATTCCATTGTTACAAAGACTTATTTCCAATGTTTTCCAGCTCCATCTAGTGGACACAATGTGGTATTTTTCCAGGACCTGTAATAAAAGAACAAAGAGAAAATAGCCCAAGGCACATTTGTTTTTGCCCATTTCACACAGAATGAACATGCAAATTTGCTGTACAAATGAATATGCAAATATTTTATAAATAGATTCCTATGTGTCCAGTGCATTTCACACACTTCTCTTTCAGTAAAAATGTCCTGCTGCTGGCCAATCTTACATTGCTGTATCATCTAAATTCTCCTAATTCTTAATGAGTGTTTGATAGATATTGGCCAGGGGCAGGCCAGTTTCCATCAGCAAGAACAGGGAAAGCTTTAGGGAACTACAGGCCAATTTTTTATCTGCCAGTCAAAGCCAGTCTATTACTGCTTGATGAAAAAGCAAGTGTCACTTTTATTACAAATTTTAAAAAAGCCGCATTAAAAAAAATATCAAAATGAAATGAATCCGTTAGAAACACTGCTGGTGTCCACAGCCAAATATGCACTGCCAGTTTATGCCTTCTCTGACATGGTCTGTGAATTTTGTACTGCTCTATAACCCAGTATACTGCTTTAAGGCAACCCAAGCATATTATTGTGTATTTTCAATATTTCAGGAATGGAGGAGCAGGATTCCAGCATTCGAAGCAGCATGAAAAGACCCTCTCCCTGCAGTACAGAATTTTTAACAAAATGTTTTTGCATTGGTACTCCTTTCCCTTGGCAGTGTCCTTTTCTCTGTGCATTTTTGACAGTGGTTTTCCTAATAGCCCTAAAATGTCCAGAACTCATTAACAAGATTCACCTCCCATCGACTTCAGTGAGATTCACTGATAAGTTTGGATTTCCTGAAAGCTAAACAAGATTCCACAAACCCCTGGGGAATTGAGTCTGGACAGATTTGCTCATGCCTAATTGTTACTAGATAATGCTGATTTATTAGAATTAAATGACTGGGGTGTCTATAGCACCTTCACACCTCAACTGACATCCCTGGGCAACAAAAAAGGTGTTTTTGAATGAATTTTTATCTCCCAAAAGATTACTGTACCCCAGGACACCAGGTCTACTGAGTGCAAAAAATATTCTTGTTCAAAATATACAAGGCATATCTATGTTCGAAACTGTAAAAACAATTCCATTATGCAAGTATATCTGACAGTCACCTAATGTCTATGGCTAGCTTTAATAAAGTAGGTTGTATTCTGCTTTTGTCCAGAGATGTGAGATGGTCTGCTGAGCTCTGCTACTGCTGATATTTACTGTAGAGCAAACATGAATTTTGCCAAAGTAACAAATTATCTGAGATGGCAGAAATGAAAGCACATACTCACTTCCTGTGTTTGCTCACTACCCTTCCGCCAAGTGGAGCCCTGAGAAAATTATATCATTTCTGAGTATGGTGGAGCACATACTGTAACTCTCTCTCCTGCTTCCCACACAGCAAGTGGGGTGGGGTGGGTTCTTAGCCCTGTGTAAGCTCCAACCCACTGTAGAGGAATTTACAAAATTATTTTTTTCTATGGGTTTGCTATCAGTACAGGCTTCTTTGTATCCTTCAAACTTGTCACTGTGCTCAGATTGGACAAGTTCACTTTTTTGCCAAAGGTAGCAAGATTGTTATAGACCCAAATTTCTGGAAGTCAAAGTGCAAAAGAAGCCAAAATTGTGGTAAAATTATCATAATGTTAATACAGCAGTTAAAGGCCTGTCCACTAAGTCTTGGATGTTTTCATTTGCTGTTATCTACGAGATTAATAGACATCTTAACTACTTGGACCTTTTTGCTATTATGATATAGGCAAAAAGATAGATTAGTATAATACACTTCTTGTCACACCGTACTGCTAACAGTATGCCAAATTCACAGTAACACGACCCCATTAAAATATGTACTAAAACTAGTTCCGAAGATCAGCAAAAATCCATATCAGTCATGGACAGCATCACCCACTGTTATTTCACCTGAACTTCAAAACAAACATTTTTTTAAGACTTACTAATACTGTTAAATATTAATACTAGCACTGTGGGCATTCTGCACTATAGTCAGTAATAAATGAAGAGAATGTGTAGCCATCCACAGCTCATACAAGGTATTCGAAAGGTTTAATTCCATGTACTCCTCACTAAATTATGATGCGACCACCTATGGTTTGCTATTTCCCTTTGAAGATGAGCTGCCTTAAAGGTCAGTATAACCTAACTGCATCATAATTGACTCTGCTTGCGCTCATCCATTCAGTAATTGCAGAATAAGGATGAAGAGAGATAGAGGGAGAGGGAGCAGGTGTCAAGTCTATTTATCCGGACATCATTGAGATGTGAAACAATTCAGTTTGAAGTGGGTTATCGAAAAGAGTGTTAACAGGATAAATAAATGTAGTTGAGTTCTTTTTATCATAGGCTAGAAGCTGATTTAAACAGCTAACATATTGATTTAAAAATGTAGCAATTTCATGACTGAGGAGGCAAGCTATATATTGTATAATTGAATCCAAGTCCATTAATAAGGTATATACTGCTGTACAAGGTCACTGCATTAAATAAACTGTGGCCATATGCCAAAAATAATAAAATTGGTTTTCCTAGTATCTCGCTTAGGTCTGACTCCATTATGTTTACCCTATCTTTTGTTTTTGGAGGGCAATGTTTAGTGAGGATATGACCCTCTGCTATGTTAAAAGCTTTTTATATATGCAATATTTCAGCACCACAAACAGTAATAGCAGCAAAAGGGCATTTTTTTTTTTTTCTTAGCATGAACCTTGTGTTAAAGTAAATTACAAAGTAAACTATCACTGGCATAGGAATAAAGGTAAACGTGATAATGTGGTTTCTGATAGCATCCTGAACCCACACTTCATTACTATAAATGTCTCTTAAAGATCTGCCCACAGCACCAGAAGTTCATTGAGTCAGAGAGATGCTTATAGCAGCATCAGTTTCTCAGCAATGAAAATATGGTGGGTTCTCAAGGAGCTATGAGCCTCTCGATGGCAAGCAACATGCTTATGGCAACAAAGAAAACAAGGAGGTGCCACAGCACATGCTTCAAGTAAGGCTTGCTGAGGAGAATACAAATACCAGAGGCCCACTAATGCTTTAAACTTGTGATTTAACCAAGGTTTATGTGAACATCTAGTGACATGTTCTGTATGTACATCGCTATGCCTTCTAGGCCTCAGAGTAGAAATACTGAGTACTGGATTATACAGTTGTTAATATTTTCAAATTTTTCTCCTGACTGATAGTTGAGGAATGTGAGACAATAAATACTAACAGTGATACTTCCAATAAACGAAGCTCAACAGACAGCTGAGTAACGCAACAATGCTATACATTACTGTTTTTATATTCATTGCAGCATATTCTATAAAAAGGCCCCATGTTGTGACCAGCACATATACATATTGTGATGGTTCTGTTGTTTACATACTGTGAATGATTCTTTAGCTTCTCTGTAGAAGTTAACCATAAACAGCCTATACCTCTATAGGAATCTCATGATATATGGAGAGTTGTCGCATCATTGTTTAATAATTCTTCTAGATTGCATCTTCTGAACACGCAAACCAGTTTGGAAACTGGATACACACAATGGAATATGCCTTAATGAATATAAAACTTGATTCTTTTGCAAGAGAATCTGCTGACTGGCTCTAGCCAATAAAAAAAACTTCCAATTGCCCAGGGTACAATGGATAGCTCACCCATAAACTGATTACACATTCTTGGAGACAACGATATTTGTAGGTAAATGTGCAATAGGACTGTATTGCTCTGTCCCTTGGCAGCTATCCATACCTATATGTGCTTAACAGTTGACCTCTGACATCCTTCATACACGTTAGACTGTGGTCTCTATAGTTTCTATGATCTCCAGATCAGTCTTTGAAGGAGACACCAATGGAGAAGGCTCCTGACCCCAGCAACCATCTGGGCTGCAGTCCTCTTCTGAACTCAGTTCTGCCCCTTCTTCTGTGTCCTCGTCACATGACTCTAAGTAGGGGACTCCTACTGCATTGATCCCAGAGTCCTCAGAGTTGGAAGGTGAAGAGCAATGATCTATTTTTGGTCCTTCCATGGTGTCTTTTGGTGTGTAAACTTCCTGCAGAAACTCTCTTTCAGGCCTTGACCTAACACATGGCTGTGTGGGAGGTGGTGGTGGCAGTGGCTGTTGGCGCTGCACATAACACATCTTTCCATTGATACACTTTACCTGATAATTATCCAGGAAGAGGTCAGAAATTGTACAGTAGCGTGGAGATTCTGGAATGAATGGAGGCTGGAAGGAAGAAGCTACCTTGAGGAACTGCTCGGCCAGCGAGACAGAGATCTGGATTGTGTTGGTATGTTCTTGTGGCTCCACTGGAATTTGCGTGCTTGGAAGCTGCTCCACCGGAGTCATAGGTTGGTATACATATTTGCCTTAAATGAAAAAAAAAATAATATATACCAGTTAGTACATAGCATTGGATTATGGTGTCTGCAACAAACTGTAGTACGTAATGCTTTATCTTTATACTTCAGTGTTTCTGTAAAGAGAATGTATAGTGGTTTGTGGCATATTTTTTTCTTTATTATGGTCTACTACTACTACAAAAATAAAATGTAAAAAATGTACTTTTATTTTTTTTAGCAGGTAACTATTAAAGCGGTAGTAAATCGCGTAAAAAAAAAAAACCCTGCAAGGTAAAGGCATAATGTGCTAGTATGCATCGAAGCCCTCTAGCAGCGTGCTGTCACCACAGTAGAGGCTACAACCTTCACCCGGTCTTCCCTCCGGGTTTATGAGCTCTGGCCATCTGGCTGGCAGAGCCGCAATGACATCACTTCCACGCATAAGCACGGAAATCTCGGGACACGGCACAGTGCTCTGAAGGAATGGCGCGGGTATGCCACTCTCCATCAGGGTACATGAGCTTCTGTAAGAAAAACCTGAATATCTTCTAAACAGTGCACATTTAGAAGATATTCTTTTTATCCACAGGTAAGTTTTATTATAAGCTTACCTGTAGGTAAATAGTAATAATGTGGCTTTACCACCACTTACTACTACGTCATGCATTCTGCATTAGGGAAAAAGTGTAGTTCTTCATTCCTCCTCCTTCTTCACATTTAGCGTTGATTCAATAGTCAAAGAAGCCCATTTGAATAACTCTGTGCGTTATCACAGTAGTGAGCCTTTCCTTATCAGATGGCTAAGTAGGGGATTTTAATTAGACAAAAGGTAAGGCAAGGCAAGCTGTTCTACTATGGTATCTCTTTAGCTAGCCACTGATGCTCTGTGAACAATTTTGTTTACGTTTCTTTGTAAAAAAAAAAAAAAAAAAAGTTTTATACATATAGTCCACTTCTAGGTGTGTCAGATAGTGTGCCCGATAAATTCTTACCTTACTCCACTCCCCCGCCACTCCAGCTATCTTTATTGTTATTGTGTTGCACAGCCTTTCTAGCAAAAATGTTCCCACAAGCTCCTCTTCATAGCATGCATGAAAGTTGCAGGCCCCATTTATTCCCATGGGTGAGTTGTATTTCAGCCACCCAACAAATTTTATATTAGCACTATATTAAACTACAATTTAGGTGTTTTATAATGCTTCTCCTAAAGCAGGGTTGTTGAAGACCTCAAGGGGTTTATTTACTAAAGCTGGAGAGTCCAAAATCAGACTCCCTTCTGCATAGAAACCAATCAGCTTCTAACCTCAGCTTGTTCAATGAAGCTTTGACAATGAAACCTGGAAGCTGATTGGTTTCTATGCAGAAGGAAGTCTGATTTTGGACTCTCCAGCTTTAGTAAATAAACCCCCAAGTGTCTGTATGCCCTTATTGTTATGCAAATGTTATTTGTGCTATGTCTCAAACATTTCATGTCCAAAGCCTTTAATTTAGAAACCTTTGCTATAAAGAGCACTCCGTTCTGTCCTAAGGTACATATAGTAGGAAACACATTAGCATCCACTGATTTGCTGAAGTTATTCAGTTTATACAAATATTACAGAAAGCCAAAATGTATGAATCTGTCGTACATGAAGAAGGCATTGGTTAAATAAGCACAGTTTCTTCAGAAGACACCGTACCGACAAAACATCTTCAGAAATCCCACTAGGGACTGCAGATGTTAGTGTAAAAAGCCACTTCAGAAGTAATGACTTGGATAAAAGAACATCTAGTTATCGTCTGATTAGAGTTCCACAGAAGTACTACTGATTAACCTCTCTCTTCAGGAGAATAAAGAAGTTGTAATAAACCTTTATTATAAACAGCATTTTACCCAAACACAGATTTGTTTTACCCTTGAAATAATAATGAAAAGAATTTGTGTATTGTATGATTAAATTCTATAGACTGGACAAAAGTAACAATCTTCCATAATTTAAAAGACTGCACAATTTATCTACAGCAGTTTTACACATTTGCCATGTTCCTGTGACTGAAAGGTTTAAAACTACTAAGGTTTGTAAAAATGTCAAAGAAAAGTAAAAAAGAATAATGCCACTGTAACAGAAAGGGTCAAATTTAGAACTATATAGCGATACATGTATCATTTGATGCTCTTTACCACCGGCTGGGAACATTTGCCCCATTTTAAAGCCAATTCAACAGTTGAATCATCCTATGCATTGATTTGTTCAGGTCTCTGTTGCCCAACAAACAAACCATTTGATCTCCAATTCCTTAACAGGAAACCAAGATCTCTGTAATGTTCGTCATAATTATAACATGATGACAGTTATATCCACTGGTCTCAATTACCAGTCATGGCAAAAATATTGAAGCTGCCATAGCCAACTTCCTGTAAAAAAAATTTTGGTTGTCTGGTAGAGTCTGGCTTCATACTTCTGAGTATTTAGCCCAGAACAAGTATTCGGCATACACAAGTCAAAGAAAAGTAAGAATCCTTTCTCTTAATATTTCTTTCTGGTCATTGACTCAGGAAGTCCTAAGACTAAAGCATCAGCATTTGAGGAAAGTGGAGAGATAACGCTGGACTGATTGGTTTATTTTACTGGTATTGTTATCCTAAGGTATTAATGTTAGTGTAAATGATCTGGTTCCTGGGCAGGTGGCTTCTACACCCCAGAGGATCTCCACAGTCTCTTTGACTTGTAGTGTAATTTAAGAAGAGTTGAAACTGAAGAGCCAAACCACTACTAAGAGGTCCAGATGCAAATGTATCCCATTAAAAACCAGGGATAATTATATCCCTGACCTTTAATGGAATAAAGTTGTATCTGGATCTCTTAGCAGTGGTGTGTCGCTTCAATTTCAATTCCTAAAGCATCAGCAGCATAGCCGCCTGACAACAAGCATTTTTATAAGAGGTTAGCAGTGGCAACCTACATTTTTCTCCCATGACAGGTTTCCTTTTCCACTCATTTCCATTGAAGGCTCATCATGGTCAGTCTTACTCTCTTGCCATATACATTAAACACCCCATAAATAAGGTTAGCTCCTGTCTAAAACTGGCTCTAGTATGAAAATCTACACATTGTGCCAAAGGTGGTTGACTTGCATCCTGTCTGCCCCAACACCAATTTGATAATTGCTTTGAGTCTGCAGAGAGAGAAGTGCTACAAATATATTAACGTTTAGGACTACTGCTGATCTGTGTGAGAGCAGCAGTCTGTTTCCAGCAGTCTGACACATTATATAAAGTCATAACTACTATGTTCCAATCTACAATGCTCACCCAACCTGCTCAAGGATTGTAGGTGTTGCTGACTGAGTAGAGTAGCTGTACCCATACAGGAGGTGTGAATGACTGCTGCTCTTTTTGGGCACCCTAACTTTATCTAACAGAAAATAAATGAAGGTACCAATGGGTTTTAAAAGGATAAGGTCATACATATTACTGCTGAGCTGTTTATAATTATTAGAAAAAGCTTGATTTCATGTGAAGTCTTGTCAAAGACAAGCTAAAGTGGAAGTGGTGTCAGAAACTGAACTGCATAACAGTGTTCATTAGCTATAGGGCCCTTAAGAACCTTGTTGTCGCATTTTAGCTGAATTCTTTTTTTTTTAAAAAGTCAGAGTATGAGAATGCAGGCTATTGTCAGAAAACTGTAACTAGGTTTCTGAAAAAAAATGTTGAAAGTAAGTTTTGGTTCTCAGTTATGGATGGTAGTGAGGTTTGCATGTAAAATTGTGCTGATCATTACAGTCCTGAAGTGATAATTCGCATATGAAAACCCATGGCGGTTTCCCACTTGTCGCTGTGCTTACTGCTGCTGTTCATTGGAAGTATCTACCCTAACAGTCTCACTTTTGAATACTAAAGACATGCAGATAAGTAGCAGTGGAACTGACTTCTAAAAACTGTAGAAAAGATTATGTACACAAAAATGCAGTTGTTGCTCATAGTATTTCATAAACCAAAAGATGAAGCCCCATTAGTTTCTTCTGGAAACAACTCACAAAATTCAACACCAGTGGCGTGAGGGAAAGAAACTGGTGCAGTCCCGCATTCAAAAACAAAAAATACATTGGTGAAATTTTCTTTTAATTAAAAGTGAAACTCCAGATTCAGCCAAAAATGCAAAACACATTGGCATGACTTTGTTATAAAGATGTTCAAAGATATACTGAAATGAAAATTTTGGTAAACCTGCTAACATCTGCCCAAGTCTTCAAAAACTGAGATCCCCATGCATGGCAGATAAAAAGCATAATTACTTGTCATGTACTGTAAGTTTAAAATTTTCTCAGGGACAATTAAAGCCAAACGTATCCCAAACATAGGATATGTTTTCACAAAGACTTAAAGTGTATCTGAATAAAACAAAGACATTTGTTATGGGGATGGCTTAGATATAAAAGGGTCTTCTTTGAGTACATGAGAAAGAGAGAAATCAAAAACTGACTTAGCTGCGGTCAAGCAAATCACAGTAGGACTTACCTTAGATCACATGGAATTTGCCTACTTGTAACCTGGAGGCCAAATTAATATTCCATATATTTTTAACCTACCACTGCATTAGGAAGGACAATAGGTTAACAACTGACCAGATTTAACCAGGACTGCATAACAATTTTAGAAGTTTGCATTTTTTAAGGATTTTCTCACCCATCTACATCATTCACAGACCCCAACCATTTTACATTCAGTGTTGGTTAATAGATGTTTGGCACCTGTGTTCACAGCAGATGAAATCTGAAACAATTTCTTTGCTTTGCTGGAAATGAATATACAGCAGCTCCTGAACCTCTTTCCAAGAAGGGACATTCACTTTAAAATGTACTGACAAAAACTGACAATCTGTTCAAGTGCTTCATCAATACTCATGCTCTAATGCACATACAAAATTGTGGATGACAATTAGCAAAATGCACTTTATTTCTTTACAAAAGCATAAAAACATCTTGAAAGCTCAAAGCAAGATTATCCCAAAGAAATTGTTGCTAGCA